GCGGGATCAGCACATAAAACGGCTTGCCAATCACATAAATTACTGTGCGGATAAATAGAACAAATGAAGAATTTCATTAAAATTACTTTCGAAACGTTCGTGCGTGTTCGGGAAATGAAAGTGAAGCAAACTTACGAATCGAAATGACCATCAATGCTCCCGGCACGCCGAATGCGAGCGAATAGCAGCTGAGCTCGCCAAAGCAGTGCAAGTTCTCACGCAATATCGGCGTCAATAATGTCGAAATCATGGATCCAAAATTGATTGACAGATAGAATAACGACTCGTTATTAACGAGAAGAAGGTGGCTAAATGCTTCGCTTGCTCTTGCAATTTGAATTGATCACCACCAAATGCCGACACATTCGGTTTTGTACCACCCGTGCTCATGGCAATTAACAGCAAACCCAGCACAGTCACTTGATTTGTAGGAAGATTTAATGTGGGCACGGCTCCTAGTGTTAGCACCACGGTGCCCAGAGCATAAATCATCGACAAATATACAATCGTCCTATAGAAAGCGAGAAAGAATTTAAAATTTTCATAGCGAATATATGTTCCCGATGGATCTATGTGTCAAAGCTGCGGATCGCCAGCGATTTTCAACGCCAGCGAATAGAATAGCCACACCAAACGGCCGACTCATGGCTGAACCACCATCGGCACTGTCACCAAATTGAATGGCTAAGGTTGATACTGCTTGGGCGCATGACTCGACCGACATACGTTCGTTATAGACGAACCAATGATTCTGGCATTCAACACGGGCACGATCAATCAATGTTCTGAAATTAAAAATTGAAATAAATGTGAAAATTCCATTTTCTATCGATAAATGTGAGCATTTGCATGTGTACCTTGCGTCAGCCATCAATCCTGATGTTGCACACCCGATGTGCCGATCTACTTCGACGATTTTCTCAACCGTTGATGGTTCCATGAGTGGAGATGTGATTCGCTTCTCTACAGCCATAACGACTCCTTCAGGCGTGCGAATGCCGATCGCTGTTGATCCCAATTTGATTGCCTCTATGGCATATTCGACTTGGAATAGACGCCCTTCTGGTGAAAATGTGTTGACACCACGATCGTATTCCGAACGAGTAAGAAACATCTGAAACCAATAGCAAATTTTTCCGAATAAATCGTTTACGATACAAAGTCAATAACTTGGAGTATTATTTATAAACTAGTTGGAAATAGCCACAGAAATGTTTTTGAGGTTAAGTTGGTTGAGTGTGACAAAGCAAAAATACTGCAGCGTTCATTTTCTCTGAATATATTAAATACGCTCTTTTTTCATACCTTTACAGCTTATGAAATAGAACAAAATTCAGTTCAATCTGATGATATTTAAGATTTTTAAATCAAATCAATTTTTGGAATATAACTTAAATCGACTATTAGAGTGATTGTGTTTCGACGGTGAAGCAAATAGTCAAGCCGCAATGACACATATAAACAATTTTGGTTGAAATGTCATTCGTGTTGTATTTCGTACTAAAAATCGATGTAACAATGGTACTAATGTTTGGATATTGGCTGCATGAATTCACAAAGTACGCAGCAATTTTATCCGCTTGATGCAACCAACTCTTTAGCTTTTTTTGGAATTAATTACATGTATCAATGTAATTTTGAAACTGAATTTTTGGCCAGCATTTTGAATTATTCATATGCGGAGTAAAATATTTTCTCAGATCACTTTATTGATATTTTCTTTTGGCGAAATGGCAATAACAATTTCATCATTCGTACTAAATATAGGAAACGTTCAAAATGACTTTCGGTCCAAAGTGAAACGTCATGTTCGTATCGTTGTCCCTTTCTGCCCTGCACACTCATCTGGGTTTTTCGTTGAGCGATAAGGTCGACAATAGAATCGACTGTGGATGTATAATAAAATACAAGTGAATGCGTCGTTCTGAAACATACATTGTGTACTATTCGAAGTGAACAGATCTCTGCGTCTCTGAAGAAAAACTTGTTAAATAAATATAATTCCAAATTGAATTGTGAAAAGTGATCAAATAAAAATAAAACGTAAGTAAATCGAATAAATCAATATTCTTTTCAATCCAATTCGCACATATGCATAAAATCACAGCTTATTGCGAGAATAAGGTCGAACAAAGTCCATGCAATCATGGCCGACGAAACCAATGAAATTCAGCTTGTATTTCATCACCCCAATGAAATTATCGGGTGCGTCAGCTAAATTGGTTGACCTATTTTTTCTTATTTTTCACAAAGAAGCAGAGGAAATGAGACATTTTTCAACCGAATCAAATTTTCCGATCACCATTTTTTGCCAATATTTTCCTATCAATTTTTTCCCGTTTTTTCGTATTTTCGGTTCATATCGATGGAAAAATGTTTGGAGCAAGTTTTTTTCCTTTCTCTTTTGTATTTTGGCATTGGAAAATATTTGTCTGAAGGCTTCAATATAGTTTATAAGCAAGAAAATTAGACAAACGCTTCGATCTGCTTACTTTGAAAAACAAATGACTCATCGAAATCATACGAATATACAGTTATGACTAAAATGCAAGCAATTGACGCACCAGAAAATGAAAGTCAGGCGAAAATATTTCTGGCTTACGTAGTTAAACTTGGCACACAAATTCGAGCGAAAAAAACGATTTCAATATCTTTTCGTTTTATGACGAAATTTTTCATTTTTTTTCTGCGTTGTTTTCGTATTTCT